AAGTATTTATTGAACATTTACTGTGTACTGGGAGCTCTTTTGAATATAGGGAATATAGCAATGAGAAGGTTGTATTTGTCCTTTGTGAGACATATATATATAGTGTCACATATGCAACAATTGGCTGAATATGCTAATTTTCCTACCTCAGAATGGATAAAACTTGTAATTACATTGGCAGAATTGTTAAAGTTCAAGTATGTTTTTTAAAATACATAATAGTATAAAAATAAATTACCATAGGATTTATAAAATAACTTTGTGAAAAAGAACAATTTCATTCATAAAATTATGTTACCCTAAAATCTGATTTCATATCCTCAAAATATCTTTCACAAAAGTATATGTAGTACCTCTAGGATAAAACAAAACCCTGTTTTCTCTAAATATTGCTTCATATAACAGCAGCCAACTCAGTACTAGCTCATCTGTTTCTCCAAACTAATCATCTGAGGCAAACCACAAAAATCCCAAGTAAAGTATTTTATGATGTAACCTCTAACCCTACTATAATGGGAAGATGTATTTGTGCTCTATGGGTAATATATCTTCCAATAATTTCTTTATTCTTTAATGTAGGCACCAAATTTCTGTATTTGCTTTTCCATAATTATTTACATAAGTAGATACTATGAAAGCAATATTTAAAACCATATTCAGTTCAGAGGTTAGTACTATTCATATTTATCTCCTTTTTAAATTAAAGTTTTATCTGCCTTCTGTTTGTGCATATCATATTTAATCTGTTATACCCATTGCCAAGGTATATATATTTCTACAATGGGGTATAGAAACTGAAGTCTGTTTCTACATGAGGTTTATTTCTGTAATGCTGAGACTAGGCACATTTTCCTGAACTCAAATTCTTGACTTCCATAGTGTATAAAATTCTACATTGGCTCTGCAACTAAGTTTTTTAAACAAAAAGCAATTAGAATTCCTGCATCTGCTAAACCTCATTGGAGTCTATAATCTTGTTTCTAAATAAATTAGTTGGAAAACTCAAAACGACACTCTCTTATGATCTGTGCAGACTTTTAGATATATCCTCTTTTACATAAAGGAATCTCTGTTTTTTGTTTTCCTTGCTTGGTATCCAAGAGTTTTTACCTTTTACATTAAAAGTTTTTTATGAGCCATATATTTATGCTAGTATGATTAAAATACTGAAGTGTTTCTGAAACTAGCTTGGTTATTTATGTCACCATAAATCAATACTGTGTCTTTATATATGCAAAACCACCATGGCACCTATATCATGGAGTACTATTCGAAATTTCATATAAAAATATTCTTTGCAATTATGTTTTGAATTGAGATTCTGTTAATGGCTTTTTCAAGAATCTATTTAATTAAACTTGTTAATCTTACTAGGTGATTATTTTTTACTCTCTATCACACTTAGCAAGTGTCTTACACGTAGTAGGTCCACAGTAAATGTTTGTTTAATGCCCTAAATTAGTGTTTAAAAGCTAATTACGCTCTGAGCTTTATTCTTCAAAGTAAAGCAAGATTTGATTTTGTATATACAATTGAACTAAAATTTCTAAGTAATGGTTAATAAAAATGTTCAGATGAATTGCTTTCTCTGAAGATTTTTAATAGTTGAAATTTTTATCAGTTTTTATTTACCAGATAGTTTAGAATTGACTATTTTAAATAGCCCTCAAATGTGTACCACCTTTACATGTAATTGTCATCATTTTATTACAAAACAGCCTCCAACTTAGAATCAATCATAATTAATATTGTTGTTAGATACACTTGATTTTTTTTTAAGTGTGGTAGGTAATTCTGAAATTTAAATTGTGTGTAATCTAAATAAAAAATCTTCTTAAGATTCAAGGTTTAATATTTAAAAGGTTTGGTTTGGTTAATGGTGTTTGGCTACAGAGGTATTTCTTTTCTATAAAACTGATATTGATTGGCTGTATTTACATTTTTTGAGCAAAACACCATGTAATTATCAATGAAAAAATACTATCTAAAAGCTGCCTTTAGGTATTCTAGATGTTACATAAACATCTAGAATAAACTAAGGATTCATAGTTGAACTATTTTTTCCAGGATACAGCAATACTGAAAGGTGTTTACTTTGACTTTTCAGAGTATCATCAATACAGTGTAAGAGTAGTATTGTAAGGTCCATGTTCTCATTTTTTATTGATACTGAAGATCTGCATCTCTATTATAATTAAAGTGTGATTAAAGAGACATATTTAGGTGTCTGTTTATAGGCTACAATAAGATTATCTAAGTGAAAAGATTCTGGACGTGGAAAAGAGGAAAATCAATTTTTGAAATGGAAGAGAACCTTGAGAGAAATGCAACATATTTTAGACCAAGAAAAAATAAATTAAACTGAATTTATAAATACTATTTGGACCAAAGAACGTCACTTTTTAAGATTTAAATATTTTCCTCTCCAAAAGGGGCCACTGCTTACCAAATCCAGAAACAAGCCCAAGAATATGTTAATTAGTGCATTGTGTCCCAGAAAGAATGAGACTGACAAATTCATTTTTTATTCCTTCGATTAATAAACTGTTTGTCCAGTACATCTTAGATTTTTAAAATCTATAATCTGTATATTTACCTCTTGAAACTGTACAGTAACAGTGCCAAGGACCAACATGACTTCATAGGGTGAATCTTATGAAGCTTAACATTCCTGGCGAATTTAAACACACAAGCCTCGGATCACTTTTCGTCAGCCTTTTTTTACTGTGGTGCTTGAGAGCCAGAAGGTAGGTAATTTTTATATGGTGGCACTTTACCCCAATTAAAAAAGCAATGATCGTTGGTGCAAGCAGAAGTGGAAAATATAATGACATAAAATTAAAGAAAGGTATCACAAAGACTGACCAAGAATGCCACTTGTCCCTCTCCATCCCCACCCCCATTCATGCCCCCTTTCCATTTGTTTTTCTCACAAGAATGTCATGACTTCTAAGAATATTTTACTTTAAATGAAACAAAAAATGTCTGAAACAGTCAATGATGTAAAACGGTTCACCTACTATCAACTACATAACATATAAACATGTGAAGCTATTCGAAATATTCAGACTTATAAATAAAAAATGTGAATTGAGGGGAAATGTGGGAGGATGAGTGTGAAACGAATGAATAGACTGAAAATACTTGATTTTCAACACCGATTTTTTTCTGTTCAAACCTTTTCATAGTTACACCTCAAATGATTTCTTAAATAAAAATTTCTCCCTATACCTCGAAATAACTGAATGATTTCCATGAGGAAATGCAAGTTTAGAAAGAAGACTCGCAAAATCAAAGTGTTAAAATGCAAGCAACTTTTATAGCATTTCAAATGCAAAAACACAACCCACACAACCTTTAACTGACTCTTAAGGGGTCTTTTCAAAGATGCTATTTATGAGCATCATCTGTTAACTTCTTCCTTGTAATTCAAAACTCTGTCAAATGATGTTTTCATGATGACGTGTAAATATTCCATTAAAGATCAATTCTAATTGGTTTTTTAAAATCCACGTTGGGAAACAGTGCTTCATAACACAGAGACTGGTAATGAGTATTTTAGAAGGAATTTCCGCAAAGTTTATCATAAACCTAAGTCGAAATTACTCTCTTGCCCTAGTAAGGTTTGGACTACAGGATTGAAATTATTTCTTCTTGGGCTTTCACGCACGATGACTCTGGTCTTGTCGACAAGATTCCCAAGCACTTGTTGGAAATCTTCATTTAAAAAAAAAAAAACAGTGACGTTGGCCAGAAAGCCTTCTTCCACATGCCTCACAAAGAAAAACACACAGAGTTTATTAAGTGGGTTACAATTATTTGTTTCTAAAACATGGTTTAAAAGCAAATTAAACGTTTTTCCCTTTTGAAATTCCCTATTTTGAAAACGCATTTCACGTTAAGAAAGGAAGCCCGTTTTTGTCAGGGGTAGCTCAGCGTTTCCTTTTAACACTTCACTTCTTGTGTACAAAGAAGAGCTGAGTAATCAGTAATAAGGATAGCGAAACGTGCTTTTCCGAACTCCTTTGAACCTTGACTTTTTCTTAAATGGATATTTCAAATATTAAATAAGCGGCTGTAACTTTCCGGATACTGAATAAAAACTGCCCATGCCTATCTCTTATCTATTACTTTGCAAACACATCTATGTCGCTTTCCCTTTTTTTCCTAACGTGTGCGTGGCAGGCTCGCCCGGCTTCCTTCAATTTCGCCGCACGCTATAAAAGCTCCTTCCTCCGAGGTCTTCAGCTCGGAACCCTCGCTGACCGAGTCTGATCATAAAACTTGCTGCGCCGGCCCGACCCGGCCTGGCTGGAGCTCAGGAGTCCGAGGAGGCGCGGACCCGAGTCGGGTTGGCCCGCGGGACCCCTCCCTCGGTCCCGACCCGCTCGGCTAACGACGGCGCGAGGGCAGAACAATGGGGGCTGCCAGGCGGGCGCGAGAAGCCGAGTCCCGCTTCCTCCGCCGCGCCGGCCGCGCGCCCGGTCCCCGCCCCCCGCGGCCCTTCCCGCCCGCGGATTCGCGCTCGCCCGGGCCGCCGCGCCTTCCTCCCGCGGCCTGGCCCGGCGCTCGCCCCGCCGCCCGCACGCTTTCTTCCCCGCCTGGACCTGGCCAGCCCTCCTTCCCTCGACTCCGACCCACGGCGCTTCCTCCCACAACTCCAGCTTCTTCCCTGCAGCCGCCGCCTTCCCGCCCTTTTCTGAATGTATTTTTACAATTTCCTCTTCATTTCCAAAAGTGCCCGAGAAGTCTTGCTTCCATCTTAATGTTGATTTGCTATTTCCCTGCGGAAAACATTTCCTCAGGAAACCCCAAATCTAGAAGGAAATACAGCAAACCCCAGAACACTTTTAACCCTTAAGACATCTTGTATTAAAAAAAAAAAAAAATTAACTCATGTATGTCTTAAAACCGGCCCAAGAACCATCCCTCTTTATTTCCTCCTGCAAATCTATTATTTTAAACTCTCCATCTAGTGCCTTCGGACGAGAGGGCAGAGAATGTGCCCGGCAGCACGCAGCAAATCAGAGGTTTTATCTTACGCCTCCTGGGACAGGGAAAAAAGTGGAACGTGGCCGAGGGAGCTTCCACGGCAGAAAAGCGACACAATTCGCTGGGGACGCCGCCGAGCCAAGCCAGGCGGGGGAGGCGCGGCGGGGGCGCCGAGGGCTCTCGGGCTCGCGGCCGGGGCGCCGCAGCGAGGAGGGGAGGCGGTTTTAAGTCGTGGGGGCTGGGAGGGCGGCGGGTCGGGCGTGACGAGACTTTCGGAGGCAGGATGGGGCGGCGGTGGAGTTGCCTGGGCTTTCTCATCCCCCCACACACACCCCAAGAAAAAAAGGAAAGTTGGAGGGAGGCGGAGAGGAGGGCAGCCATCCCCATTTCCTCCCTGCGACGCCGCGGAAGGGCTGGGGCCGCGTGGGGCAGAGAGAGGGCGCGGGACGCGGCGGGCCAATCGCAGTCAACAGGTCCAGGCCTCGGCGGGGCAGCGGGGCCGGACAGCCGGGAGGCCGGCGCCCCCTCCCCTCGGCTCCCCGTCCCTCCCCTCTCTCGCTAGCCTGGCGCAGCAGGGGAGGCTGGGCCCGGCCCTCCCCGCCCCGCCCGGGCCTCGCAGCGGCCGCCTCCGCCGGGGCTGTGGAGGTGGGGGCGGGGCGGGGGTTCCCCGCCGGAGAATCCTCCCCCGGGGTTGGCGGCGGGGGCGGGGGGCAGGGGGCGGGGGCGGGCAGCCCGAGCCGGGAATGGAGGATTAGGAAGGACTCGAGCTCGGCACGAGCGCGGCCCGCGCGAGGGATGCTGGGTAAAAAGTGGCCGCGCGGCACCGGGAGAACACGACGAGGAGCCGGGGTCAGAGGTCAGGGCCCTGGAGCCCGGTGTGCAGAGCCTCCCACGTGAACGCAGCGAGCAAGAGAAACCTTTTTGTTTTCGACCGCACCAGCATGCTCCCCTATTGACCGAGCTGCTTTTCCTGGGCTGCTGGAGAGAGGAGCTCCATCGCGGATCTCCTAACCCCACCCCCCCTTCCACCGCCAACACACTTCCCAACTCAACCCTTCCTCTCAACTCTCATCCCAGCCCCCGTCCCAGGCTTGCAATAACTCAGTAAATTTGCTTTAACAACAAGTGGGGGTGGTTGCATTTACTCCTCCCTCTCCTCTCTCCTCCCCCTCCTCTTGCTGCGGCTCTTGACACTACTACAAACCAGGACTATAAACATAAACATGTGTCACTGTAACAGGGCAGGTAATATACTGATTTTGAGGTGGGGTGGGGTGGAATGGGGCTTGGTCGCCGCTTGGAGGGCAGTAAAAAATCGCGTTTCACGTGCTCGACTGCTTTGGGGGCTCCCCCACACATCGATCCATTTATATAATGCCGAAGGCACTCGGTCACTTATTCAGCCACGCATATCTACAAAACCACACTTGCGAACAACCAGCGTACCCCATAGCAAATGCATTTCAATACGAATCCCTCTCCTTTCCCAGCTAGTGCTGCCATTTCTTCTATTAGCAAACAGTTACGTGAACACTTGAATCCCTTTTCCTTTTTAAAAATTCTTTTCCAGATAGCCATGAGATCATTTTTCGACCTAAATAGTGCATGTCTTCCCATAGTCACTATCTACATATTTTGTGCGCAGGAACCCCTTCAAACAGCAAGAAAAACTATTTAAATGACTGAGTTCGAAATCTAGTGTGCAAAGGGTATTCCTTGGGTTTTGCCTCCGTGCCTTGAGCAACTTCTGCTGCAAGTTGCTGAGACTGGCGCGATGGAGATCCGCCACAGCAAGCCTTTTTTATTATTATTATTATTTAGTCTATATTTACCCTGCCTCTCAACTTTTTTCTCATTCTTAGTTCAACAAGCCTAGCAACCACTACCTAAGGTAGAATAAAGCGAATCCCTTCCCAAGCTTTTTGGCTTGAAACGGAGGGAGATACAGAAAATGTTCAGATGGGGAAGTGGTTCCCTTTGTTCTTTCATTGTTTCTCTACGAACTGGTGGATACAAGGACAAACACTTACCTTCTCTTCTTTTTGGTCCAAAAACCAGACGTTCCCATCAGCCTTAAAATACACAATCCACCTTGAAAGTAACTACGGGTGTCGGGAGAGCTTGTATTCCATTCTTTTTCGCTCTCTGCCCTCTTTTAGCGTAGGATTAAGTTGCCGAGCACGTTGCTGCAAGCTGTAGGCCCCCACCCCCCCCCGCCTTAGTGAATCGGTCACGTTTAGGACCCTCTAAGTCCATCCTAATTCTGCCAGTAGAATTGAGAGTATTGGAGCTCTAAACTTTCAAAAGGAAAGGGGCCTGCAACTCTCCAGAAAACCTAGAAATACCCCGGAATTTTTTACCATTGTGTTTTTGCGCCACATCACCAAATAGTATTTTCCAAGAAATAATAGATATGTCTTTGAGAAAATCTTTTTTTTAAAGTTTATACTTAGCAATGCGGGGCTTAGAAAGATGGAGTAAAAGGCAGGTTTGTATCGGCATTTAACGGAATGAGTGCGTTTTCCATAACGTTTGTCGTGCCATGTGTTTTTTTAAAACACAAACAAAACACTACCACAACTGAGAAAGGAAGTAGAAGTTTGAATTAAAATGCTGTGGGACGACTTTAAAAGAGACGTTTACTTGAAATTTATTAGTGTAAAAATTGGCCTCAGAAGTGAAAAGTAAGCTTTCCAAAGTTAAAAAACTTAATTTTCACCCTATGATTCCATAATAAAAAAGCGAATTTTCTGGTTAATATGTGATACTGTCAGTGTTGAGTGTCCAGCCTGTTGGGCATTAGTGCCCAAACCTTGCTCAAATCTGATTATGATGTGATTTGCTGATGTCATGAATATGAAATGATACTTGTGCATCCATAAATTTGAACTTTTTATTTTTTTTCTTTTTCTTTTCTTTTTTTTGTAGGTTCCCAGTAGCTGGAGCAGTGAAAGACAGTGATTGGCTCCAGTGCTCCTAGAAGGATTTGGGCTGAAGCCAGGGGAACAGAACCAGAAGAGGATTCCCTTTCCAGAGACCATCAGGCTCCTCATGTCTTGTCTCTCCTCTCTCCCCTCGTGGGTGCTCAGGATTTCAGTGTGGCTGAGCAGCCCATAAGTAGGCCTCAACACTTGGTGTCACCACTTCAGTCTCTACATGTTTGGCCCTTTCGTAAAATAAACAAAAACTTGGGCAACCCTAATAATTTGTGGTTCTGGATATTTGTGTATTATTTAATACCTGAAGGTCAAACTCTACTTTCTCTGATTTTTTTTTTTTTCTGCATTCAGGATCAATTGTGAAAGGCCGCTGTGTCTCATAGGAAAATACTGCAACAAAACAAGATAATTGGGGGGAAAGGCGGTTGCAGTAGGAAAAGTGGCTTTTCTTTGATAGCATTTAATTGGAATTAAAAGATTCTTGAGCTGTAAACATTCTTTATTTATTCAGCACACATAAGCAGGCATTGTTTTATCACCATCATAATTATGGTGTCCTTTAAACTGGCTGATAGCAGGAAAGATAAGGGAATGTGCCCGCAGATTCAGATCAAGTCTCACTCCTTTCTTTCTTTTCCTCCCTGCCCCCTTCCCCCACCTCCACCATTCCTTCCTTGGTCACTAGGGTCCCCCACAGCCCTTTAGATGAGAAGAGCAAGAAGATTGTGGCCTAACCGTTTCTTACATCATGAAAGTGATTTGTACCTCACTCTAATTTGATGCAATCCATAACCTCCTTGTCTCCTATGTTTATAACTGCTTTTTAGCTTGCAATATGTGTTATCTGGAGGTGCCTATTGCTCACCTGTGTAAAATCTCATCCACTAGGGTTTGTTGCTTTACCTTTGTCTAATTTAGAAAGCACACTCTTAGGGCTTTTTCAGAACAAAGCCTCACAAAACCCCCTTTACCTCCAAGGATTTGCAAATTTATAAAGGCTGCATTGAATTCAAGATGGGTCAGGGGGCAAAAAAAGGGCAGAAGGTCACTGCATTTTGATTATGGGTCAGTAGACAACATGGCATATACCCTGTGTCCCAAACTTCTGTTAAAGACAGGGTTTTTCAATGCCTAAGAACACAGGGATGGGCCCTTTTGGAGACTCACCCTGATTTCTTTAAATGAACCAAAAAGAAAAAAAATTAAGAAAAATATACAAAATATACTGAGTTATTTGTTTCCCATTTTAACCATTTCTTTTCCTCTATTCCCATTTTCCCATCCTAAAAAGCAGAGAAGATGTGATATTAGATAAATTTAGCTAAAGAACTGTTGAGATTTTATTGTCTTATATCCTCAACTAATTCTGCCATATGAGACTTTATTATTATTTGAGACTTTATCTTGTGAGTATTATAGTTACTTTTAGTTAACAGCACAAGGGGCTTCTTTTATTCTTTTAACCAGCATACTTACATTGTTGAGGCCTTTGTGATGTTCCTTACTCTTTTCTGTCTGAATTCACTTTGAACAAAATGTGCCCAGCAATCACTAAAACAAATGTATATGGTGAAGAGTTGGGGTGGGAGGCGGGGAGTGATCCTCATTTAAATTATGTATGTATGGGTGAAAGCTTGGAAGGAAAAGGATTATTTTAATGCTCTTCAATACTTTAATTATATGACAGTTGTAGTGTAGAAATGCAAAAGTACTCTTAGGTTTTCCTTCAGGTTTTCAAAAGAACTTTCCCCATTAGTAAACTACTCCTGCAAATTGCTATTGCATTTCCCAGCTAACCATTTAAAAGACTGTAAATGCCGTGTGCATTACTTCGCTCCAGAGGAAAGAGGTCAGACTGAATTGCAATGGTATTTAAACATAAAATACAGTGAAAATAAATCAAAATAGAGCATCTGAAGGTAAATCTAGCACGTTCATATGGGAAAAGTAAAGACAAATATGTTCATATATTCATGGCCCTTCCCTTTAAAAACTGAAAGTGCTGATTTTTTACAATAAATGCAGAAGTAAGTGGACATTAGGAATATATTTCAATCTGTATTGGCTACAGAGTATTTTCCTTTTGCAAGCAGCTTTGTTTTCAAAGCTAAAGCACTTTTTACAATAGTGTGTAGATTAGGTATTCCTCACTGAGTAAATAATCACATTTAATTAACAAACTCAATGCATATCATACATGTGCCTAAATTCACAATAATTCCCTGGACCCACAGAGAAGAATAAATACATAAATGTTAATTTGGACATATCTATCTACATATGTACATGCATTTGAGAAACACAGAAGTTGATGTATCTTTTCTTAAAAAATAATTTGAATACAGTCCATCATCTGAATTGGGTTCATCTTTGATTGTAGAGGCAACTGACATGGTCAACAAATTTATCAAAGAAACCCCCTGGCTTTTGAAGCATAGTACTTTATACATCTGGATCTGCACATCAGGCAAAGTAAGTAAATTATTGCATAACTTTAAGCATAATTGATAACAGACACCTTTAATTTTTCATCCCCATTCTTTTGGCCAGCTTTCGCATTAATAATCTAAGCCATAAATGTTGGTAGCTATTGATCGAAATCCCCGGTGTGCATGCAAATCCATCTTAAAGTCCCCTGCCTTTCATGTGTGAGCGCTCAGGGGCCTCTGCTAGATCTTTTTATCGGGATCGACCCCCAATGTGCCTGGAGAAGACCCCGGATATGCAACGTGTGCTGATGGCCACAAGAAAGCTGTCACATTGTGTGTGTGTGTGTGTGTGTGTGTGCGCGCACACACGACCAAGAGTGCTGGATCCTAACACACACATACACACAAGGATGGGGAAGTTAAAGGAACAAAAGAATGTATTAGACAAGAAGAAAGATGTGTAGTAGGAGTATTAAAAATGTATAAGTGTAAAGGTGTCTGAGTGCACATATAGAGATACTTGCACAGAGTCTATATAGACACATTTCTCAAATCCCCTAGCCTTTATTTTTCTCTATTTGACCTAACAGATTATGCCTTTAGTTTAAAAATATATATACTTAATATGCTACTAGTTTTCAAAACAACCTAAATTGCCAATATTTTAAAGGTGGAAAGAGAAGAAGAGAGAGGAAAAGAAGGTAGTTTTGAAATGGCCACTAAATCATGTTGCTATGTGTAGGAGGACTAGGGGGGAGGGAGAGAGAGAGAGGGAGAGAGAGGGAGAGAGAGAGAGAAAATCTAAACGGGAAAGGAGAGCAACTAAAACTACCTGGCCAAAAAAAAAAAAAAAAAGAAAAGAAAAAAGGATGCTCTAGCCAACCTTTTGTACCGTCTTCTCAAAGGCTTTCTGAGTTTACTATTTCTTGGCTGACTCTTTGGTCTAAATCTTAAAGCTGGGGGAGGGGAATGGGCGGGGGTGGGGGTGGGGGTGGGAGGGAGAGGGCTGGCAGTACTATATAAGTGCATCAGAAGGAATTTTAAAACGACATTATTGTCGCTGGCAATAGAAAGACTCTGGTCATTTTACTTTTAAAAACAAACACCAGCATCTGCTTTTCCTGGAAACTTCGCTTTCTGCTTAAACCTTGTGCATTTTGTCTCCGGTGAAAGTGAAAGAGAAAAACGCGGTGTAATAGATCCAGATGCGAAAGAAAGCCAACTCGGTGGATGGTATTAGCTGTGACGAGGCATTGTTCATTGCTGCCTCTTGGTTACGTTTAAAGCCTGAAATATCACGAGATCCATTCAATGATCCTACTCTCATTCAAGGGACAAAAATGTAATTTGCTGTAGCTCTGATTTCTTGGATGGAAATGCTAGCCTTTGATTTCAAAGGCAAGAACTAGACATCGCGGTTTGTACACACATTGATTAAGTTGAAGAGCTGCGATTACATCTGTGCTGAGTGCAACAGTAGTTCAGGGGCTGACTTTTCAAATCCCAACCTCCTGAGTTACAGACTCTCTTAAATAGACTTCCTTAATTTCCGGATGCACTCCTTGAAATTCCCAATTCTCTTCAAAATTCCTGGGAAATTACAAAGGAGATGAGGGTGGGGGTGGGGAATCATGGTCGAGATTTCATCTTGTCAAGCAAACTACCTTTTTATATGTCTGATTCATCTGTTTTTATCTTTCTGTTTTCTTTTTTGAGCCATACCTGCTCCTGCCAGCCAGACCAGAGCAGGGGAAGCTGGAACTTTTGATTGTGAAGAAATAAATTATTGTATAATTTTTTTTCTTGCAGGCTCAGAAATATCCGTTTATTCTTTTAATCACACGGATGTGTCTATTTTTGGAGGAACAAGGAAATACATAAATGCCTGGATTGCATTTATGTCGTAGTTGCAAACACCGAACAGTTAAGAAGATTTTGCCGAATTTTGCAAAGCAGCCAAGGAGCCGCCTTGGGATCGTGGTAATGCGACTGGGAGGACCCTTGTTCTCATTTGACAATATTTTGGATATCCTTGAAAACGACACCAAAATATGTCTTAATTTGACTAAGAAGAGGTTAAATCACATTGATATTCATCCAAAGTGATTTTGTTAAAGCAGATGCTTGGCTTTGATGGAAAAACTGGGAGTTGTGGAAGATTCACCTAAACTACTAACCCAAAGCATCACAAACCACTGAAACAGTCTACATCGTACATCAGCACTTTCTTTTCATCGTTATTACGTAAAACCTCTGGAAACACCTTGGGCGTTTGACATTTTCTTTTCTTTGCTGCAGAAGGAAGCAGTCTGCTCCCTGGAATTCTGACCTGTGGTGAACAGGACCCTGGTAAAGGCTTTGCTGGAGACTCTTGCACGATCCTGCCTCCAATCCAGCACTGTTAATTGTGGAAAAGTGTACACATTTCTGGCTTATCTATGCTTTGTTATGGGTCTGACGTGAAACTACCTCCTCCCCACCCCACCCCCCAGCAGAGAACCGAAATCCAGTTGAATTGTTACAGTGTTTCGGAGCTGGAACCTTGAACTGCTTCCTTGGTCAAATAACTTTGTTTCTGGTTGTAAAAAGGCATTTCGGGGGGAAAAAAAGGAAAATCGAGAGAAATTCCAAACGTAAGTCCATACTGGGGTGGTTCACGGGGCGGGTTTAACTTTGGAGCTCCCAGCCGATCTCCTTCCCCACTCCTGTAAGGGAAATACCAGGCTATTCTGCACATTTTCGCTTAAGCTCCATTTTCCAAAAGGAAAAGGGGGTGGGGTATATCTCTTTCGGCTTGATAATGTTTTTTAAATGCTTTTCTTCGA